GGTTGCTGGAGAGCTTTGTTTAAAAGGTAAATTTTTCACAATGTGCTGGTAGACAATGCATACTAGCACATTATGACATTAATATGCAGGGACCTTTTTTTTTTTTTTTCCTTTTTTCAAGACTATACTTCCACTTTATTGTATCATCCAGGGGCGGACTGACCATTTGGAAACTCTGGCACTGCCCGAGGGCCCGGGGTCAGTAGGGGGCCCCATGATATGCCCTGGTACCTTTTCCATAGGCTTTTTTGAGTTTGGGCAAGGACACAGGGGCCCCATGATCCCCTGTTGCCCGGGGGCCCTATGAGTTGTCAGTCCACCCCTGGTATCATCTTGCTTACATGATTTGTTCCAATCTCCTTACCTGCTATCCAGGACCAGGACAGGGAATTTTCCCAACTCCAGCACACCTGTGACAAGCAGAGTTCTACTTTTCAGACAAACTGTAGCATGTATGCTAGAGTAGTGTTTCTCAACCTTTTTTCAGTCAAGGCACCCTTTAAAATTCTGCACAATCTCAAGGCATCCCGTTCCAAAATGTAAAAAACTATTCTACACCCATCCAGTACACCCAACGTTATAGGCAATGTTTTCTTCCAAAGCAAATAAACCTTTGCACACTGGTACCGACTACTATTCTAGTGTGTCTCTCTGTTTCTTTCCCTAAGCCCCCGTTCACATCAAGCCTGACTTTGAAATCAAAGTCAGGGGGCCCGCCAATTTCAGGTGCACATATGGAGCACAGGGAGGGTGATGGATGCACCGGGGGGCAATGACTGGAACCAATCCCCTGTTTGGCTCTCTGCAGCAGCTGAAAACCAGCAGGAGGGAGAGGAGAAGAAGCCAGCTTTCAGCTGCTGCAGAGAAAGCAATACAGGGGATTAGTTCCAGTAAATCACGCCCTCCTCCCGCACTGATCACCTTTGCTGCCCATGTCCAAGTCACCCAGCTGCCTGGGCCCCCCTGTTGGCGGGGCCCCATAAAGGAGGACTGGTGGTACCCTCTTATCCTTGACCCTGCCTAGATAGCATACCCCATGTCTTTGCACTAAAAGTATGAAGATTTTAGTTATAATTCATATTTGTATGACGATTTAAAACATTTAAAAAAAATATTCATTATGTATTTTTCCTCTGTATTCCGAAGTCTGTTTTATCGTTTGTTTGTTTTTAAGATGTGATTGGCAGCAGAGGACTAGAAGCTCCTCCCGCATGGGCTGGGAAAGAGCTGGGTCATGTGACAGCTGTACATAGATTATAAAAAAAGGTACTTTTAATTAAAATGAATTCAGTGCCATCTGTGACGGACGCGGCATCGGACCCCCAGCCCTTCTCACCAACTCGTGACCGAAGGACTAGCCAATCTAAAACCATGCTGTCACGTGTGTAACAATGCCACGCTCAGCTGCACCCTGCAAAAAGATTTTCCAGCTAATGGACCACAATCTATGTTCCACAGCCTGAGAGCGATTGTTAGGTTAATTACGCAATTAACCCTTCACACTGCCACCACCGCCTTTTTTGTACGGAGAAGGGGGAAACTCGTCAATCTTAGCAGTAACACTATGATGTTTGAATAAGTGTCTGTATACATACTGTCACCGCACGCAGATGTATTCAGAAGTTTAAAACACACAGTAGCGCTCTTCAGAGACAGGGATTCTTAGTTTGCATTAAAGAACTTCAGAAACAGTTCAACACTTTTCAGATAATAGGATTTATTACTAAAAAGGTCAAAATGGTGCAAATAAAATATTTACAGAAAAAGATGTAGCCTATATATATATATATATATATATATATATATAAATACAGAGAGCAATACCACAAGAGAGAGATAACAGAAAGAAGTTTAGAGAGGTAGAATACTTGCCGTCAGCCTTCGTTTAAGCAGATCAAGGTCCTGAACAAAAGGGTCCCGTTCTCCCAAGTTGGTTCCTGATGTTAAAAATGGAGAATACTTCAACTTATCTCTCTCAGGCCTGACAGCCTATTTTCTAGTCCACCAGCAGGGTGTCTCCTTAAAGCAGAGAACCAATCGCCTCATTTGGGGAGGGTGTTTAGGCAGAGAACTCTGCTATGACCAAATCCCCCACACATTTATACCATGGTCAATAATCTTCCATAGGTACATGGAGCATCCTATCCACTGGTAGGATAGTATGCAGAATCATCTGCTGAATGTCTAGATATCAGATGACATATCTACCTGTGACGGTTAAAGAGATATCGCTTTCTGCTCTCGGGTAGACTTAATCTAGGGGTGTAAGATATCTGGCGACTCGCATTAAACTGAGCTATCCGAATATATGCTTTGTTCGATTGTATGTATTCCCTATTGTAAGTTATGAAAAGTGGTTTTTAAATGGGATATATGTTTTACGGCTATCTCGGAATGTCTTTCATGTCCCGTGAAGGACTGGTTTATAGCTTTACGATCATCTCCAAGCAAGAGTCTCACAGACATACTGGGCCCAGGCTAATTGGGGTTTATAACCATGAAGCTATCCAGCTGTGCCTGATGCCTTTTGACCTCAGCATATACACAGACCACATTCCTGAGGGAGGGGGATTGGAGGGAGAGAGAATGATACAAGATGGGGAATCTTGAGCAAGATGGATGACCGTGTCCATATCTGTGTGCCCAATTGCTACACCATCATCCATATATATATATATAAAAGAGAAGAACTAAAAAAAATTAAACAGTGTGTGTTTAGTATTACTAACTGAATCCTAAAATAATATTAATGAACTTTCTTGTTCTCTTTAGTGGACTACAGAACAACTCCCTCATGGTTAAGGAGATGAGGAGAGTGTTTGTACTTCAAAAAATAATTCAGCTCAGGGCGACAATGATCCTGCTCCATAGATACAGTGCAGTGAGCGAGATTTTGTCACCCTAGAACAGGATGTGAGTCACCTGCAGGATCACAAGGTGAAAAAAAGGAAAATATCTAAATAATGAAGTCACTCTCCTTGGACGATTCCCCATACTGTAGAACAGGCTAACCACTTGCCCTCCAGAGGACTGACCCTCCTTCCTGACCAGACCTTTTTTGTGATACGGCGCTACGTTACTTTAACTGACAATTGCGCGGTCATGCAGCACTGCACCCAACTGAAATTTATGTCCTTATTTCCCACAAATAGAGCTTTATTTGGTGGTGGTTTTATTTTTGTGTTTTTTGTGCTATAAACAAAAAAAGACTAACAATTTTGAAAAAAAACAAAACAATATTTTTGACTTTTTGCTATTAAACATGTACAGTAAATAAATTTTAAAAAATCAAATTTCGTCATAAATTTAGGCCAAAGTGTATTCTGCTACATGTCTTTGCTAAAATCCTAATATGTGTAAATTAATCAGTTTACATGAAAGTTATAGCATCTACAAATGGCGATATATATACTGGTATTGTTTTATTATACTAGTAATGGCGACGATCAGCAACTTATAGCGCGACTGCGGTGGGCATTCTGACACCTAGGGGGATTACTGACTGTCACTGACATCCCCAGTGACACTAACACAGTGATCAGTGCTAATAAAAAGCACTGACACTGTACTAATGACACTGGGTAGGAAGGGGTTAACATCTGGGACGACCAAAGGGTTAACTGTGGCTGTGTGTGCTTTACTAGGGAGGCATACTGTTTTGTATTGCTCTGCTACGCAGAGCAATACAAAGCAGCATGCTGGAGAGATCTGTATTGTTTACATACAGACCTCTCCACAGTCAGTGATAGTTGGAAATCACAGGGTGCCGGCGGGGAATCTCCCAGGCTGGGACCCACTGATTGACAGCTGTAGCCGCCAATGGCAGCGCGGGTATGACGCACACATGCCCCCTTACCTGGCAATACAAAATCACGTATATATACACGTGATTTTGTGCAGCCCTGCCGCCCTGTGGCAGTATTTGTGTTATAGGGCAGCGGGGAAGAGGCTAATAACAGCTGCAAAAGACTGCCATTGAGGAAGGACACACCGAATGCCACAGGGGAATCATAGCCCTGGGGTCCCCAAGAAATAAGTAGCTTATAGGTGACACAACACATCAGTACTCAACCAAAAATAAAATGTCATTCTGGGTAGAAGGTGACATTAAGCCCTGGTTTAAACTGATGTGATGTGGCATTCACAGCGTTTTCAGTGTGAATTACGCACCGCATCAGAATCGCATCCCGTTCATGCGAACCGCTGTGGGTGTGTATGTAAAGTTAACAACACCCCGAAAGCGGTCCGCAAAACGCGGTGAGATGTGCAGAATCGGATCGCATAGGTGGGAATATCCATGCTATCTGATTCTAGAGCGAACCCAAAAAAGGGTCCTGCACGTTTTTGGTTTGGGTGCGGTACAAATAGAGCCATACAAAATGTATGGCTCCAATTGCACCGCAAACAAATCGCATGTAATTTGTACAGGAATGTGGTGCGGTTCCTGTGCGAATCACATGTGATATACCGCACTGCACATATGTGAACCCAAGCTTAGACTTCTTTTTCTGCCTGAACAAACACAGGTCTGCAGGTTCAATGTATATTAATTACCAAGAACACACTCTGCCATCCTCCCTTCCCCCAGTGTACTGGACAAATCAACCTTCTGCTGGTAGATCTATAATTACATTCCCTTGTTAATACATACCGCATGCTCATGAATGGTAGACAGCACAGCAACGCTGCAATGTGACGGAAGGACAGACAAGCAGAGATAGACAGATAGCTAGCTATACATAGAGGGCCAGATAGACAGAAGTCACCTCTGCACATTCATTGAATGTCATAAAAGGAAACTCGTCACTGTCCACATTTTTTCCTTTAATATAACAGATGTAATAAATGAGACATAAGCGGTCATACAGCATATACATTTCTGTGTAGTTCATGGTAATTGAAAGGCTTACGTTACTTATCTTCCATGGAAGGTCACCTTCCATCCTTCAAGGACAGCAAAGCTAAAAGGAAGATGATATTTTGGTTGGGAGGGCACTTACCTGCTGTGTGTGGGGTGACGGATGGGGGAGATAGGAGCCCAGAGAGGATGAGGGTCACCACAGTGGGCTGGAGGAGAAAGAAGCGCATACTGGCAGTACAGGCTGGACAGCTTGGCACGGACGCTGCAGTGTGCAGGATCCTCTGATGTATGAAGATTCTTCTCTGTTGTAGAAGACTCTCCTCTGATGTATGCAGACTCTCCTCTGACGTATGAAGACTTCTCTCTGCTGGGACAGGGATGTACCATGAAGGCTGCGCGTTGCATCAGCCCCCAGCTCTGCCTGTGATGTGAAGCTTCCCAGAGTCATTAGTGAGATCAGCACATGGTTGCTACACTGCTAACTCACATCCTTCCTGAAGTCATCACAGTACTGAAGAAATATCACATTCAATGCAGACAAACAGCTAATTACCTGCATAAAATACATCAATGGGAGCTGGTTTACCTGCCAAACGTCCGTCCAGGAAAAACCCACATCTGCACACGGCCAGAAAAATGCCTCTACTAGGAGATTCTGGTGTATTTTTTTTATTATCACCATGAATGCAGCTGCATGTTATTTCATGTTGCCATGCACATGCAGGCATTTAATCGCAGTGATCAGGAGCAGAAAAATGCCCCAAAGCTGCATTTGAAGAGGTACTTTTGAGCATAATTTATTTGCCTATGTGCATAAACGCACATAAACATGCGTGTGAATTTATTCTAATGGTAAGAATAAACAAATTTTCTAGCTGAGTTTACACTTATATGCTTATAAATAACATACGCCTGTAAATACATGCAAGTATGTGCAAAATACACACGCAAGTACACAAAATTAGAGGCGTTTTCGCCAACTTCTGACAGAGCATTTGGAACACGTCTGTGCACATTAGGCCTAAGGGCTGAAAAGCAGCAGCAGTATATCAATTTTAAAAAAAATGTTTTTCAGTTTAACAATTTCTGACCATACACAGCCCCATCTGGACTGATCTATTCTTTTAATTTCTCATTTTAAAGGATAAGTTCGCCTTTTCGTAACATGTTAGCCAATAAACGACTGCAGTACCTGGGCGATGATGTCAGCCGTAGGTTTACTATGGGGGATCCACTGTTGGCTGTCCCTCCTCTATACTGAAGCTACTCCTGACAGTTGATCATGTAACCGGACTGGATCGCTCTCAGAATAGGTAAGTATTGTGTTGGAATACAATGTTCATGTATTTATGTACAACAACTACATCCGTGAAAGTATTCAGTGGAGCTATATTATTCAACCAGTAGATGGCAGTGTTTATAAGAGAGTGGCTGCATCTATGGTCATACTTATATTCAGGGTGGAACATGTAACATGTTATACAATCTGACCGGCCCTGCTCTTTGACAGCTAGTGTTGGATCCCCCCCCCCCCCAATAGCTGTCAAGTAAAAAAAACGTGGCTGTGCAGGCTCTGCCCACTCACAGCATTCTGTGAGAGACTACAAGTCCCAGAAGCCTTAGTGGCTGCCAGCTTGTAGTCCTCAATGAACATTGATTCTTCCTGTTATTATATCTGCTTGCTTGTACATCCTATATGAACAAGCAGATATTCTGACAGATCTGCAGGAGACCTGCATGGCACCAGCGATCTTCTGATCCTTGGTGCAATGCTTTACAGGCTCCTGCAGACAAAAATAATAAGTGCACATGTTTTTACCTGCAAAACAAATGTGCATTTATTATTTTTTATTAAAAGGTGAAATTATCCTTTAAAAAAAAAGTGCAAGATAAAATGTAAACACTATGGGGGAGATTTACTAAAACTGGTACAGTTGTGCCTAGTAACAAATCAGCTTCTCGGTTTTATCCCTGGTTCACGTTGAATGCAACTTTGAAATCGCGCTACTTCATTTGAAGCCGCAGGTCAGTGCGATTTCAGGTGCAACTAGGGTAGCTACCTCATCCCTTTAAAGCTGAAAACATATCAATGTGGGGCTAATTTAATGCAGATAAGGCACTAAGGCTGGCCATAGATTATCCAATTTTCTTGATTTTTGGTTTAGATTTACCAAAAACCATATAATAGGAGGTCAAAACTAACAACAACTTTCAATTGTATCCAATTAGGCAGGCTCTTGCACTACATAGTTGAAGGTAAATCTAAAGGAAATTGGGCAGAAATTGGACAGAAAATTGTATAGTGTGTGGGCAGCCTTAGTGAGTTTTAATTGCCACCTTAATCAGCCACAGAAGCTGTGTAATTAATATGTGTTCAGTTATAAAAACCCTAGGTGCGGTTTGCTTGACGTCGCTGCGGCTTCATGCACCTGTGTCTATGCAAGTTGCACCTGAAATAACCAAAAATAGTGCGCAAACTATTTTCAAAATCAGCGCAACTCCGACAGAGTCGGGGTCGCACCTTTTTGAACAGTTCCATTGAGGACAATAGGGTGCGACTTGTCGTGCGATTTGAAACTGTCAAATCACATGAAAAGTTAAACTGGTATGAACCAAGGCTTACACCCCAGTCACATCGGGTGCGACTTGGCATGCGATTTGCATATTATGCAACTCGCAAATCGTATGCCAAGTCGCACCCTATTGGCCGTTTTAGAGCGGTCATATCGGTGCAGCTCTGACTTGGTTGGAGCCGCACCGATTTCTAAAGTAGTACACGCACTACTTTTGTTGTGTCAAATGTCTTGCAAATCGCAACTGAAATCAGCAAGTCACCCGATTGTGAAATCGTGCGACTTCACTGTAAGCAGCACGATTTCAAAATCGGCTTTGATGTGACCGGGGCTTATTGTCAAAGCTTCATTGAACAACCTGAAGTTAGAAGCTGACTGATTACTAGGCACAGCTGCACCAGATTCTTTGTGCTCCAGTTTTAGTAAATCAACCCCTTCATGTCTGCCATCATGCTGAAAGGCACACCAACGTCTTATAAGTCTTGATATCAATTGTGAGATATTCTGCTAAGATTTCCCAGTTGTAGAGGTCACTACAGATCTAAACCATGAGGTCACTCTTCCACATGAGCCTCCATATTGTACAACAGACCAATGACTGGGGAATCCAGCTGCAAACGACTGACAACATACGACCTTGGGAGAGAGAGAGGAAGGACCACACACATATCACTAGCCCTGGTGATTTAATGCATTAGTGCCCAAATCTAAAATATTATTTTGGGTGGAAGTTGAAATTTAGACTTTTTTTTTTACTGTCTGAACAAAACACACATCTCCTGGTTCGATGTACCTATGTTAAACACCACATTCTGCTACACTCCCTTCCCCCAGTGGGATGGACAAATCAACCGTCAGCTGGTAGATCTAGAATTCAATCCCCTTGGTAATACATACCGTATGCTAAATGGCACACAGCAGCACACCAATTTCAGTATGAGATAGATAGATAGATAGATAGATAGATAGATAGATAGATAGATAGATAGAGTGAAGGAAATAAGTATTTGATCCCCTGCTGATTTTGAACGTTTGCCCTCTCACAAAGAAATGATCAGGCTAAAAATCGAATGTTAGGTGTATTGTAACACTGAAAGACAGAATAGCAACAAAAAATTCAAAAGAAATCATGTCTAACAAATTATGCACTGATTTGCATGTTCATGAGGGAAATAAGTATTTGATCCCCTTCACAAAACATGACTTGGGGATCAAATACTTGGTGGCAAATCCCTTGTTGGCAATCACAGAGGTCAGACATTTCCTGTAGTTGGCCACCAGGTTTGCACACATCTCAGGAGGGATTTTGTCCCACTCCTCTTGGCAGATCTTCTCCAAGTCATTAAGGTTTGGTGGCTGATGTTTGGCAACTCAAACTTTCAGCTCCCTCCACAGATTTTAAGGTCTGGAGACTGACTAGGCCACTCCAGGACCTTAATGTGCTTCTTCTTGAGCCACTCCTTTTGTTGTCTTGGCTGTGTGTTTTGGGTCATTGTCATGCTGGAACACCCATCCACAACCCATTTTAAATGCCCTGGCTGAGGGAAGAAGGTTCTCACCCAAGATTTGACAGTACATTGCCCCGTCCATTGTCCCTTTGATGCGGTGCAGTTGTCCTGTCCCCTTAGAAGGAAAACACCCCCAAAGCAGAATGTTTCCACCACCATGTTTGACAGTTGGGATGGTGTTCTTGGGGTCAAAGCAGCATTCCTCCTCCTCCAAACACGGCAAGTTGAGTTGATGCCAAAGAGTTCGATTTTGGTCCCATCTGACAACACTTTCAACCAGTCTTCCTCTGCATCATTCAGATGTTCAGTGGCAAACTTCAGACGGGTCTGGACATGTTCTTTCTTGATCAGAGGGACCTTGCGGGCACTGCAGGATTTCAATCCTTGTCGGCATAGTGTGTTACCAATTGTTTTCTTGGTGAATGTGGTCCCAGCTGCCTGGAGATCATTGACAATATCCTCATGTGTAGTTCTGGGATGATTCCTCACTGTTCTCATAATCATTGGCGATAGTTTGGGTAGCCCCAGTCCAGCCTTGTGTAGGTCTACAATCTTGTCCCCGACATCCTTGGACAGCTTTGAGTTTGGAATCTGATTGTTTGATTGATCCTGTGGACACTTGTCTTTTATACAGGTAATACAATGAGATTAGCAGCACTCCGTTTAAGAGACTGCTTCTAATCTCAGTTTACCACCTGTATGAAAGACACCTGGTAGCCAGAAATCCTGCTGAATGATAGGGGATCAAATACTTATTTCCCTCATGATCATGCAAATCAGTGCATCATTTGTTAGACATGCATTTCTTTTGAATTTTGTGTTGCTATTCTGTCTCTCAGTGTTACAATACACCTACCATTCGATGTTTAGACTGATCATTCCTTTGTGAGTGGGCAAACATTCAAAAGCTTCAGGGGATCAAATACTTATTTCCGTCACTGTAGATAGATTGATTTACAGATTGCTTCATAAATTAATCTATAGATGCAAATGGATCACTAAAAACATCACAAACTGGAAAAGGGAAAACTCAGGAGCCCTGGTTCACACTAAGCCCTGGTTCATGCTGATGCAGTGCGGAATTCTCATCGTTTTCTGTGCGAATTCTGCACCGTGTCAGAATTGCACCCCATTCATGTGAACCGA